AGCTTTTAAAATTATTTAATTTTTTTTAGATCTTAAATAGGGAGAGTTTGTGTTAATCTTAAAGTAAATTTTTAATGCTTCGAAATTTATTCTAACAAAAAAAAATGGATATTCTGAGAAATTAATATAATAGAGATATGAATTGATTGAATGACTAATTTAGACATCAATATAAATTCATCTCATCGAGTTACTCGATTCGACTATGAGCATATAAAATTTGAAATTCATTTATCATTATTTTAATTTTAAAAGCTTCCAATTCAAAAATTATCTAAAGATTCGTACATATCATACAATTTTTCTATAGTCATATCGATACAAAATTTCTCCAATTATTAAAATCATTATGACTAAAATATAAAACAAAATTATGTAATTATGATCAAAATAGCTTTTTAAATTATTTAATTTTTTTTAGATCTTAAATAGGGAGAGTTTGTGTTAATATTAAAGTAAAATTTTAATGCTTCAAAATATATTCTAACAAAAAAAAATGGATATTCTGAGAATTAATATAATAGAGATATGAATTGATTGAATGACTAATTTAGACATCAATATAAATTAATAAACATAATCAATTATATTTAATTTAATTATTTATTATCTATCGGGTAATAATATCCATATATTTTTAAATTTAACTAAAATTGATGTTTTAATTAATTATTTATGGAATAATTAAATAATTGTTGTGTGATGAAAAAAATAATTATGGATTTACGTATTAAAATTTATGAATGAATTTGTACGAAGATCCTTCAAATTTAGAAAGTAAAAATTGTAAGGCATAGACTTCATTTGAGACAGTTTTCTTATTTTAGATCAAAAATTACTATTTAAAAAAATTATTGAAATAAAAAATTGATTTAAAAAATAGTAAAAAAATTATCCCAAATATTCAAGGTACATATAATGTTGTACATATAATGTTGTGAGTCGATGAACTTTAAGGCCAAGAATTAACTTGTTCCTTCTCCTTTAAGGTGGAGAGTCGAGAAATCTTATCAATGGGGGAGAAGTCCTGACAAATAAATACTAATAAAAACTTATGAAAGATTAAAATGATGATCATGGTTTTAAAATTCTTTACAAATCTTAGATTTTCTCCTATTTACCTGAGAGAATATCTGAGATATATTTATAACTTTTAGGGAGTAATATAGTCATTTATTATGAATTATATAGTGGTTTGAATTCAAGGAGTTTAGTGATAAAATGATAAGAAGCTTAATAAATTATAGCATAAGCAATAAGACATCAATTGAGACAAAGAAGAGGAGTATTAGTTTTATAGTTAAAAAATTTAATTCACCCACATATGCTTAGCTTGGTTGATGGACGAGTACGGTTGGGAACCCTACAACCCGTGCTCGATTCCCTCGGGCGGCAGCGCCCCTCTAGGGGGGGACCCAATAAGCGCGGGCCACGAGTAGTAATATGTGTGGGTTGCTCGTCTAGGTCAGCCGAGGAGACTAGTGGACATTGTTAACTGCATCACAAGCTGACGTGGCAACGGGTCGATACTCCCTGTTCCAAAAAAAATAGCTTTGATTCTATTTAATGTAATTGTATTTATAGTTCATATATCATTAAAAATTTTTCTTAATTGAGCACAAATCTCGACACGAATTCGCATTAAAACTTCTAAAATTAAATTCGGGACCATCTGAACTTCAATTTCAGCAAACTTATAGTCGAACTGAACATCTCAAAAAGATGAACCCAACGACACCAAATTCGACCCAATTCGAGCCCAAATGGGTCTGAAGCCCATTTGAAAAGTTCAAATCATAAATTAGATGATCAATCAGTTTCCAATAGTGACATGCTTATAATTGAATCTAACAGCTTAATGAGACAAAAATCTAACGAGCCTATGATCGTCAAATTCTGACATCATTAATGCACTAAAATACTTGATAAACTGTCTATGATCAAAGGAATCAATATCGATCATCCACTCAAAACAATCCCAACATGCCTCTGATCTCCTCCATATTTACTGGTCATGTCACTCCCAAAAAATTATAAATGCACCACTCATTCTTGATTGAGGGGGGAGGAAGCACGGAGGAATAGAGAGGAGAGAAAGAGAAATTTGAGATCTCTCTTGCCACCAAGCTCCTCCTTGACCATCGACCATCGTCAGACTTTCTCTCAACCATCACTTATCACCGGACTTCCGCTCGGCCACCAACTATTACCGAACCTAGGCCTGTTCATCAATTATCACCAAACTTCCTTCCAACCACCGACTGTCACCAGACTTCCAGTCGGCCACCAACTATTGTCGGACCTATGCCCAGCCATCAACCTTTGTTGGACTTTCACCGGACTTCCGCCCAACCACCGTCGGTTCCCGCCTAGCCATTGATTGTCGCCAACTATGGCCTCTCCGACGAACATTGCCAACTACGGTCCTTACGACATCCGTTCTCAGACAATGATCTTTCTAACCACCGTCACCCTTTGACTACGATCCTTCTAACCACCGTCATCAAACGACTACGGTCCTTCAAATGACCATCGTCTATTATGATCTTTTCGACTTCCTTTACCCGTGCCCGACGACTACGGTCCTTCAAACCACCATCGTCCGACTATGATCTTTCTGACCTCTATTGCCCACCAACTGTAGTCTTTACAGGCTATATCATTCACCTACTATGGTACTTACGAACAATCGAACATGAAAGCACTGATTCTTCTAACTCTCACCATGTAATACAGTCTATATGATATATATTTACTACATCGAGCCAAGGCCCTCCCCCTAAAGAAGGACCTCATTTGTAGCCAGGCTCTGTGATTTTTCCACTTTTTCATGGATTTTCATGTAAAAACTGTCGTGTCTCTTATGAATGTTACACTCCTACTTTCTTATCTGTTTACATTCGTATAAAGCTAAGACATTAAACTTTATATTTCTCTACCAACACGAACATTCCAAGATGCAACAATATTAATATTTTTTAAAGAATTAGGTCATGACTAATCATTCCCGTTGAGTTTGACTCAAACTTAGCCAGCTAACTCATTGGCGTTACTTATAAATCATTTATCAAGTTGAGCCCTAACAAACTCATGAGTTTACTTGAGTTTATTAATAACACCCTTAAACCCAATTGATTGGCCTAGGCGTTGCCTAGACCACACATATGATGATAAACTTCGATGGTGGTGTCACAACAATCATTAGCAATAATATTTCTAACAGATAGATGAAAGTCACTATCTTGAATTACTTCATATTGGGATCAGGGTAAGCGGCCAGTTGGTCGACGACAATTATGCCTCCTTTCTCACCCCGAGCTCGAATCCCCTAACATTCCCCATATTTATCCTTATTGCACGCTTGAGAGAGAGAGAGAGTTCATAAAATTTATTGCATGCTAGAAATAGAAGCTGTGTTTAATTAGAAAGAAGAATTTATTAATGGCGCATTTAATCAGCTTTGAGAAAATAAAATAAAATAAAGTCCAACAAAAGTAGAAGACGCGTCTGTAGAAAGCTCGCCTTAGCAAAGATTGCGTCCACTTTACGACTATTCAAAAATTGATTTGCGAGTAATTTGCGCATTCGCATAGCTTGATAGGATTGCGAAAGAGTCCAAAGTCTTGTGATTGTTAAACATATGAACACATATATATAATGCCGACACTAAAGTCCAAAAACTCTATCCTATACTTACACTAATTAAATGGCTTTCAACTTTTACAAAATTACAAACTAACCTTTAGTTTCGGACAACTTTCTTATTGCTTCTTAAATCAGATTTTTAGTACATAAATTTTTTGTACTAGAAAGCTGTTTTAAGAAGCAATAAGAAAGCCATCTCAAACAAAGCCTAAATCATTGTACAAACTTTTCTAATAAAAATTTAACGGCTTGCACTGAAATTAACTTCTCTAGAACTTTTAATCTATATGTTAACTTATAACGATTTAACACACATAAATAAATAAAAAAATAATCACATGAGCTAAATTACATTGAACGTAGTATGTTTTCCGATTACAAATATTGGGTAACATTAATCAGTCGATAGTTGATATTTGATGTTGTCAGCCATCGATGAAATGCAACCAAAATCCGCCTTTGTTACATTCAACTTGAATTTGGGAAGTTTAGACTCTTCCATAAAATTAATGTGATCATGCGCTCTTATATACATCAAGCATATTTTCGCAGATTCTATGAGAATATGAATTCGTTTGAAATGATTTTAAAAAAAAACTACTTTAAAAAACAATAAAAAAATTGTTCTAAAAGAAGTCTTTACAACAAACTTGCTTAACTCAATATTCAATTTCTATGTAACAACTAACATAATCATATTATTGAAATCAAACTTGCATATTTTCTATAATCATGAAATCATTGTTTTCCTGACTTTTGATTTGCCTATTTACCTTTTTAATTCATTCGCAAGTATATTCAAAACAGGTTATCATGCCCTCGCTGATTTTCTATTCATACTTAACAATCTTATAATACTCATTTTCCTTCATGAGAACATATGTTTTAGTTAAAAGATAGCTAACTCAGTAGACGAACTCAAATATTGTTGCCATCATATCAATACAAAACAATTCAAATACCAACGATACCACTACCGATCTTGGAAAAATTATTCCATGCGGATCCTTGACAGCGTCGGGAGACCAATCAGAATGCGTCACATCACTATTTTGCTTGGTACTTGTGATCGATACCGCTCTGTACTGAGAGATGTAGCGAGTTCTGATTGGTCTCCAAATCATCCAATCAGCAAATCAGACATTACATTGTGTTTTTTTTTTTTTTTTTTTTTTTTTTTTAAATCAGACATTACATTATGTTTTTTTTTTTTTTTTAACAAAATAGATTGATCGATTTGGTTAACCAAAGGGAGAAAAAATGTTATGAAGATTCGATACATCCCGCAAAGTGGACAATGCAGAGTTATTATGCACATGTTCAGAACTAAATTGTTCAGAATTGAGGGTCAGGTAGAACACTGCAATATAAGCTTCCCTCAATTAGCAAATCTGGCATGGCCATTTGATCAGGATAAAGAAATAGACAAGATAAGGCTCGCTTCAACAGCATTAACCAATACAAAACTTCAATGGGAGCATGAACAAATACAACAGACAAAAGCTCAGCTCCACAAAAAGCTAAAAAATGCCCTATTCTTTCTACCTGAAATCTGCAACCATTTCGTATATAATGAACCCAAAAAAAATAAAAAATCAATTCATATACAAGCTACCAGATATTTGGTCAAAACTGAGGAGGCAGATATATGAATTTCAATGCAGAGCAAGCTCAGTGAGCTTCCAGTTATAGCCATCCTCTCTTGATGTAGTAGACTGTACAAAGGGATGCAATTATCCCACACTAAAAAGAATACGAGCAATGTGCTCTCTGCAGGAGCCTGCAAGATTCCCAAAGAACGAGAGGGTAATCTCCAACAGATGCCAATCAAAGAATGAGTGTGCCAGATCAATTCATAAATCAAGTGAATCACGAAGTATGAAAGGACCAAAAATTTTTCCTGAATCATCGGGCGGGCAAGGATTTTGAAACTTCTGTATTATTTGAGCGACACATGCAGTCTGGGCATGGAAAACTGTATATAGAATCATTTGGTCTTTTGATCTCTATACCCTTGGAATCGCTATGAGATCGCATGCTTAGTAATTGACGCTTCAGACTTTTCCATCTGTTTTGTAAGACAACAAGCATTGTAATAGGTATAGAAATCAGTCATTAGAATTTATTTTTCAATTTATGCGATCTGTCAACAGTGAATTGAAAGGAGTCTGAAGAACATTTGCAATTTAGCAAAACAGAAAAAAAAAATGAATAATAACATGGATGTATGAAAAAATAAGGATAAGTTGATGATATTAAAGGAACAAAAGGAGTAATATCTATTTAAGATAAGATACTAAAAAATAGACTCAACATTGTTTTGACCTTTACAAGAACAACAACATCAAGCCTTTGTCCCACTATGTGGGGTCGGCTACATGAATCCTTTTTCTCCATTGTGTCCCGTTAAAAGTTAATTTCTCGTTTAAATCTAATAAAGAAATATCATTTTTAATATTTTCTAACCAAGTCTTTTTAGGTCTAACTCTACCTTTCTTAAGATAATTCAAATCTAATACCTCTATTTTCCTAACCAGGTCATTGGAAGGCCGCCATTTTATGTGACCAAACCATCTAAGGCGACTCTCTCTAATCGTATCTTCCACTGGAGCTACTCCAACCATTTCAAATATATGCTCATTTTGTATCCTATCTCTAAGGGTAAAGCTACTCATCCACCTGAGCATCCTCATCTCTGCAATACTTAAATTAGTATTATGCTTCTCTTTTAAAGACCAACATTCGGCACCATAAAGCATTGCAGGTCTCACCACCATTTTATAGAATTTTCCCTTAAGTTTGAAGGGGGCTTTTCTATCATACAACAAGCCCGATGCATTCCACCACTTCAACCATCCAACTTGAATTCAGTTGATAATATCCCCATCCATTTCACCATCACTATGAGCTATATATCCAAGATATCTAAACCGTGTACTCTTATTAATGCTTGATCGCCAAAGTCACAATCCCCTCACTAGGTCTATTACTACTAAAATTACACTCCATATATTCAGTTTTAGATCTACTTAAGTGAAAAAAATTTAGACTCTAAGGTTGACCTCCATAATTCAAGTTTACCTTCAACTCCATCTCTAGTCTTACCAACCAGAAGAATATCATCTACAAAAAGCATACACCAAGGTACATCCTCTTGAAGATGTCTAGTGAGAACATCCATGACAAAAGCAAAAAAATATGGGCTTAAGGCTGATCCTTGATGTAATGTTTTGACCTGTACAATGAGGGTAAAAAAAGAACTCACAGCATAAGTAGATAAATTAGAGCTAGTGAATTAGGAAGAACATGTTAAACATAGGGTTACATTGATAGGAAGCCACCAGTCCGTCGCCGACCGACCGATGCCATTCACCGCCGGCCACCATCATCCAACACCACCCACCACCGCTCGCCAGCTACCGCCAGCCACACCATCACCAATGTCGGCCATCAACCACCATTTTTTTTGCACTTTACATTGCATCCATTTACTTCAAAAAAAAAAAATCTCATGCATTCCTTTTACACTTCATCCAAACAACTCTAAAGTATTCCTTTTACAATGCATTCATTTTACATTGAATTCATTTCACACTACATTCCTTTTTCAGGTAACAAAACAGCCGCTTTAGGTTTAGAAATGGGCTAGGTTTATGAGGTATATCATCCATTTGGCTAAATACATCTAATAAAAGAGCTCTTTAGTAATCCAACCAATGGTGGTGCATCATTTTGAATATTGGAGTTGGAGTTTTTGGTGATTTACGGGATTTCCACTGACAAACTATTATTTTTCTATTTTTATAGAATTAGGAAATCCAAGGGGCCTTTTAGGGACCTGGGGTATGTAAAAAATTAAGTATTTATGAATAAACTTCTAATTGGATGTATTATTTCTTCTAGCCTGCTCTTTAATCAAGTGGGAAACTAAATATTTTTGGAAAATATTATATCCTTATAGAAGCAAGAGGCTTGATTTGGCGACCTTTTTTTCTTCTGCACAATTTCTTTTCTAAATCTTGTTGTCGGCATTATACAAGTGCATGATATTAAATTAATTGTATGACATTTTGTTATTTTAGATTTCTAGGTGTCATCTCCAGTGGAAACTATTCAATTATTGCATGTGTTGTGAGTCTCCATATTTTTTTAGTATTCTTTTAAAGTAGATGAATAATTGTCAAAAAAAATAGTTTGTAAATTATTAAATTGTGTTCACAAGATGTATAAATCTGCATTAGCAAATTTTAGATCTTAAGAAAATGATTCAAGACCAAGGAAATTGAGAAATAGTTGGAGAATTATATATTTAGTGATGGAGAGAGAGTTATAGAATGATGAAGATATAGAATATAAAGCAAACAGATTAAATTAGCCCTAGCTTATATTCAAGAAACTTAACTTGTTTACTTGTTTAATTTATTTAAACATTTATTTTGGAGACATTATTTAAGAGTTTCTACTAAACAAGCTCTTAAAACTTGGAATGCAATAAATTTGAATTTTTGTTATTTTATCCAGCATAGTTTTAGGTAATCTTTACAATTTTAAGCTATTCAAAAAAATTCTTCACCGTGAATATATAAGTTTGTTAGGTGAAATAACTATTTCTTTTCAGCGCCTTATATCAGTCTGGCAAGTGCATAACGCTTTAGAAGTTGAGCGGCTATAATGCCGTGCAGGTGCCTAGTTCTTTTAACAAGACTGATTTTAGGAGACAAAGTAGTTATTATTTTGCTTTTGCAATTTCCATTAGCATGAAAGCATCAAGCCTTTATCCAACTACAGGGGTCAGCTAAAAAACAAAAAAATATCCCTAATTATAAAAGGTGATTGTGGAATCAATGTAGGATGAGACGAGTGATAACAAATTTAAGAACATTGTGTGCAGATATAGCGGTAGTAGGAGAGAATAAGGGGTGGGAATCTTCTGTTTAATATTATGTAGCACAGGGCTTTAGTGAAATTCTATGGTCTTTTTTTTTTTTTAAACTAAGTTTACATTAAAAGCATCAGTTGGTGACAAGTTTAACAAACATGAATGACCCAACGGGGTAATTTTGAAATTGAGGGACTTGCTCTAATTGCAGCATGATTAAAGAAAAGAAATCTATTAATTTATTGTTCAAAGATCAGTGTAATGTGACTAAACTTATTAGAACATACCTGATATTAGGATTAGCAAATAACTGTGCTAGCTTTCTTTTATCAGGTTTAATAGTCTTGGAATGCCCGGCATATAGATATCTCCGGTGGCCAATCAGAAAATGTGGAAAATTTCCACCTTGAGTCGTAACAAACACCTCACTGTGGAGACAAACAGTGTAGTCTAGCGCAGCCATCCTAGAGGAATAATTCTTCAAGAAGGAAACTCTAGTTGGTTATATGAGACTAGGCCTCTGATTGAAACATTGTGCGAAACAAGATACCTTAAAGGGAGCAAGCTCTTCAGCTGATGCCAATGTCTCCTTTGTTTGCAAAAGAGGAAACATTTCAAGAAGAGGACGCATGGTCTTTTCTGCCCTGTAAATCTTTCCAGAGGCCAGATAAATCAATGTGTTGTTACTGAATCCCATGCCTCGAAGCATCAGTCCAACCTATGCCCACAAATTCATGTAGACCATAGAAATAGTTTTAGAGTATAATTCAGCATGAAGACAGTTCAGACGATCAAAACATCAAATTCAATTCATCTCCTAATGTCAAGACTAGATTTGAAAAATAATCTTCTTTAAAAACATGTCAACAATCAATAACTTTCTATCAAAAATCATATATTATGCACAAAGTCTATAATATCGTAAAGTCTACAATACCATATGAAACAATCCAACAATAGGAACAGGCAGGCAATTCAATAAGACATGCAAGGAAACAGAAAAAGAAAGACAAGAAGATGGGGAAGATTCTTCATGAATATAACAATGAAGTTCATAACACAAAAAATATATAAGAAGAGAGAGATGTCATGCATCACTAGGGTTTTGAAGATCTTCACCAGGCTCTGTTGATATTCAAGTGCTGCTGGTTAAATTTTTCAGCATCTTGGATATGATAAACTACAATAACAAGGATTTCAGCCTTTTACAAGAACTTTATGACATGACTTCAGGCTTCTCATAAACACAAACGCTTATGGTTAATAACTACTCTTGATTTAAAGGGAGCACTTTCGGCAATGTTTAAATTGCACAATTAGAGGCACACCTCAAGGCATGTTCAAGATATCGCTTGAGAGATGAACAATATCAATTTCTCAACTGAATTTTACATAATGTTTCATTGTCAGGGTAAATAATTCTTCTCAAAGCAGCGCTATCAGTAAGACCATTTTAACTATTAGACCAACTAGGCACCACATCAAGCTATTGGCAGCAGCAGAATGATGTGAATACCTGAACTTAACGGTTATCAAAAAGCATTGGAAATAAAGAAAACATTGGAAGGATGAGAATATGTATGAAAGATGCAATTCTGGCAGCACAATATCTTTTAGATCTGAATAAAAAAAAGTAGTCTGTCCTACTGAATGAATAAAGCGTACCTCCAAAGGTGTGAGGGGGCATTTTCCATTTGTTCTAATAACACCAGGCCGAATGACACGCCCAGGTTTAGTAAATTTTCCTCTCCAACCTCTTTCCCTTGCTGCGATCATGTCTTGCCTCTCCTCCTCCCCGCCATCAAATATACAACATGAGAAAGCAACCATATCCTACAGAAAAGAAATTCATATAAAAATTAATAATCTTGCAGATAATGTAGGCGCGCACAATTATCGTAACAAACTCCAGGGTTCGGTCTCTAGAATAGAGAAGTATACTTCTTCAAAGCGCAGGTGAACTGCAATGTATTTTCCACCATTATCTATGCTCCTTTCTTTCATTCGAGAAACAAGCGTTTCAGCCAAACTTTCAATGGGATTTGAAAACCTTAAGGCCTCAAAATTTGCCAAACATCTTAGCCTTTGAACTGCAGGTGGGACATCAAATGACAGCCGATTTGCAAAAGGAGAAATTCTTATAAACCTGAATAGTCAAAGAACAGAAAGATCCTTGATGAATCATTCGAAAATTGAAAGATGCATAAAGAAAGAATATGGCATATATGCCTATGCCTATAAGGTAAATTCACTTGCTTCAATATTAAGTAAATTAATTTCAGGGATGAAATTTCAATAAAAAGGGATGACTTATACCCAAAAATTTATAATATTATGTAAAAAAATATCAAATTTTCATCCTGCATTTTTTCCACCCCATGAAAATAATTGCAAATGTTTTATAAAATTCTATATTTAATAATGATCATTTTAATATACTATACATACATACATACATATATATGTATATATATATAAAGCTTATATAATTTCTTGTTTCAAAATAAATTATTAAATCTAAGTTTCATTAAATTTACTATTCATAGTAATAATGTTATTGTACAGGACATTAATTCCTATAGCAATCAAGTGGGTGTTTCAGCGTTTCTACTCTTTGTTTAAAATTGCGCAATATGAGGCCTGCCTCAGCGCAGTTCTAGTGAAAAACGCCTTGAGGCTTACGCATTTAGCTTTTTAATGAGGCTTGCGCCTCAGCTTGGCTGAGACCCGCCTTGAGGCACGCCTCGTCTCGCTAGCATGAGGCTTACGCCACACCCTATTTGTATACTTTTTTTTTTTGTAAAAATAACATAAATCACGCTATTTATAATGCAACTCATATAAAAACTACCTTAATAACAGTGCAAATAATTCTTAAGTTGTTGCCAGTTATTTCAGCTTTCATTAAAAATTAAATATAAATGAGTAGAGAATTGAGAAAAAAATTTGGAGTTGAACTTGATGTTATATGATACTTTTCTATAATTTCTATATTTAATATTATTTTGCTTTTATAATATTTGGATTTTAATTCTATTTCACGCAATTTATTACTTGTCACTTTAGATCTTGTGCAATTTTTTGTTTTATATGTATGTCAATTTGTTAATTCATAATTCAATAGGAAGTTAGTATGTCATCATTTAACATATTATTTAGGTATTATATAAAAAATCATTTTTGACATTTATTATCACTTTACGTAATTTTTTTATTTTGAGGCTTACGCCTCGCCTCATAAACAAAAATCGCCTCAATACCCAATTGTGCAATTGTAAACATTATTTCTACTTTCATAAGAATGCAATGGCTAATGTAAAAATGGATGGTTGTGATGTTATATGAGGTATGTTTACATCATAATTAAGAACTGATCCAGCCGGTTCAATTGAACTAACCCTCTCTAATACCCAACCGAACAAAGCAGGCGATCGAGCGGGCCAAACAAATCGCACACGAGCGCAGAAGAAATTGGCAAGGTCGTATCGCGTAATCGAGAGAGAAATCGTGTGCGGGAGTGAAAGGAATCGACTCCTCATTGGAAATAACTGCGATTCATTCACTCCTGTGGAACAGCAAATGAATGAAAGGTATTTATAGTATGTGATTTTAAAATTTTATAGTTTTTTTGACTCTTTCTATGTATTGAAAATAGTTAATTAGTAATTGAAATTTAATCAACCGTCTGACCGTTTGTTTCCGCCTCGTTAATTCAAGACTCTAGGTCGGGTCGTGACAAAAGTGGTATTATAGTGCTAGGTTATATCTTAGGAATATGAATTGTAATGAAAGAGCCATAAAAATGATTTATAAAATTATCCGTGAAGAATTTAGAAATTCGATTAGATAGTATAATTAATTATCTTATTCTTATATAAATATATAAACTATGCGGATGATCAAGAGGAAGTAACTGATAGAAATATGGAAAGAGAAGAAGTACCACCTGAAATGACTGTGAACACAAATATATTTACCCAGATGATAAATGTTATGACCCAACTGCTTCAGGAATCAAGATCAAAGCCTGAAGTTGGAGTGGATAAATATCTGAAGTTATTCTAGGACATACGACCACCTCTATTCAAAAAAGGTAACAAGTGACCGATTGAGGCTGAAAATTGGTTGCTTCGTATAGAGAAAATATTAGATAGCATGTCATGTCTTGATTAAAGGTTGGTGGAGAAGTCAATGTGAAGACAGGTTATGAGATATTCCAAATTTACTAGTTAACCGGGAAGACTTTGTAAAATTATTAGAGAATGGTTCGTACCTATGTCAGCAAGGAGGTAGTGCATGACAAATTTATAAGACTAGTTTAAGGAGACAAATCAGTGATGCAATATGAGGCTTAATTTGTAACTCTATCCAGATATGCACCATAGCTGATTTCAACAGCATGGGAGAAATGTTATTGATTCTTATCTGATCTAAAAGATGCAATTAGACAATATTTAATACCTTTAGGAATCGAGAATTATTCAGTGTTCGTAGAGAGAGCTCGAAGGGTGGAAATTGACTTTCAAATAACTCAGAAGGGAAGAGATTATCATAAAAGGAAGAATATTGAAGAAGATATCCAAAGTAATCAGATTGAAGGATCAAAGGGAAAGAAGCCCAGGTTTAACCCTAGTGAAGTTGGTAGTGCTACTTCCAATAGAGTCATGGATGCTTGTACCAAGTGTAGAAGATTTCATAAGGGTGAATATTTGATGGTTCCAATACTTGCTACTAGTGTCGTTAGCCTAGACACATCAAAATATTATCCTACTTTGGTATAGAGGACTGTAGGAGAGATGAGATCAAGTGAATCACCTTCATAGAAGAGCTTTGACAAACAGAATATGATAGAATCAACATTTTCAACTCCATCACAATCTCAACCAAGGCAAAATGTTCAACCTCGAGCTTATGCTTTGACTCAGCAGTAGCCTAATGAATCAATAGATGGTAATAAAAATGAATAAGATGTCTTTAATATAGTACCTTGTTATGTTAAAGATGTTTAGCTTTATCCAGTTATCTTATTATGTTATATCAAATGTTTCTGTTTTTATGTTATATCGGATGTTATGTATCCAATGTTAAAGTTTATGTTGAATGAAATTTAAGATGTTATTTTGCTTAAGTATCAAGTAGTTATGTTCAATTTAACTCATAAGAATATGCTATAACTAAAATTCATGTAAATTTCAAGGATGAATTTTTTTATAAGGGGAGATTGTAAGAACCGGTCCAACTGATTCAATTGAACTGGCCCTATGTAATACCCAATCGAACGAAGCAAGAGATCGAGCAGGCCGAATAGACCGCACGCGAGCGCGGAAGGGTTTGGCGAGGTTAGATCAAGTAATTGAGTGAGTATTCATGTGCAGGAGTGAAAGGAAGCAACTCATGGGAAATAATTGAGATTCATTCACTCCAGTGGAATCAACAAACAAATGAAAGCTTCAACCGAGAGGAAATCGTGCTGAGAGGAAGAAGGAAAAGGAAGCATGGAATGAGTTTGAGCAGTGAATGAGGGAGATCAAGAGGATGAGTGCCGAAGCGAGGAAAAGGAAGGCATGTGCGTGCGATTAGGGCTTGAGCGTTCTTAGCGGCGAGAAAGGTGTAATTTTTTTTATTATAAAGTTACGTTTAATTTTTTTTAATTTGATAGTAAGTAATATATTAATAAATAATCTGTTAATAATTTATTTTTTTTATATAAACATAAGATTTAATCTAATGCCTAATTATTCATATTTTGTTATTTAATTTAAAAACAAAAAAGTTGGAATTTAGCATTAGAAATTAGTTAATAAGTAAATTTAAATAGAGTCTATTTTATAAGTATATTAGATTTTAATCAAATTTAATGTATGTTATAAAATAGATACGTAAGAATAACATATTTATGAGTTAATGATAATTTGTAAAGAAAATGAAAGTTTAGTGAAGAAATTAATTAAAATTAATAAGCTAATTAAAGAAAGGGTTAGTGAATATAAATAAATTATAATAATGCAGAAAAATCATTTTTAAAAAATAATATCAACCAAATAAATTTATAAAGCAAGGAGAACTAAATTTATCTTTGATTATGGGAGTTATTTAAATGAATTAATTAGTTAATTGGAAAGAGAGAGGGAGAGATTTTAATCAAAGAAATTTAAAATAATAAGTTAGAGAAATTAAGCGTAAATTATAAATTAAATTTTAATGATGGGATCTTTTTATAGGTGTTAAGTCTATTGAATTAGAAGTAAAGAGTAAAAGTGAAGCAGCGCAATACCTAAGCTTAAGGTGAGTACTCGTCTTTTTAATTATAGTAATAATTTTATTTCTCTCTTAAATTAAATGCATCTAAAGATAGTAAGATCTCTTTATTAAGTCTTTATTGCAAGCTAGATTATAATTTGTAAATTTTATATCCAATGATTGGTCATGTTGAATGAAATGAAAATTTATTTTTATGATTTATATTTTTCATAGAAAGTAAATGAATGTTATAAGAATGAAATGGTTATATATATTTGTATGTGCATGTTGAATGATGGATCACACCCTCTTATGGTACTGGCTGGGGACACAATGTACTCGTACATGTAAATGAAAAATGTTATGAAAAACAAATGGAAAAGGAGTACCTTCATTGGTACAATCTATATGGTGTCTATTGTAACAGTTGTATCATTTACAGAGAAGATAAAGATATGTCATGTACATAATAGTGATGATATGATAAAACGAAACTAAATGGAAGTAATTTATATTTGAAAATGAGCATGCATATTATTCTAAAGGCCTTGTGTTACTGTAATTTTAGAAGCATAATTTACTCACTGTATTCTTTTATGACTCACTCTTCCTATTGAAAAATAATTAATGGTATAATTCAATTAACTAAAATGAGCATAATAGAAGAAAATGTGTATCGTAGACGCGATGCTCCAAAAGAAAGGTATTTATAGTATTTGATTTTAAAATTTTAAAGTTTTAGTAGCCCTTTTTATGTATTGGAAATTGTTAGTTAGTAATTGAAATTTAATCAACCGTCCAACTGTTTGTTTCTATCTCGTTAATTCGAGCATCTGGCCGAGTTGTGACAATAATTATATTACTACTATAAGAAAATCCAATAAACCTTCATCCCGAGAGCAGCACACAATTAAATGGCTAGGAGGCAAAGGGGAGAAGCAGGGTTTGGAAATTGGAAGCTAGGTTTTCAAATAGATGTTCAGTTTTTTATAATGTATGCGACCAATTGACATTGGATTGTCATTGGTAGGCATAAATGCTAGCATTTTATCAAGATACTATCTTTAAAAGTAGGGCATCTAATACTTATGATTTATATATAGATGCATAATGTTGATTAGTATTTTCATAATAAAAAAAAATGTATTTAAATGTTTAATTAAGTAAAATGCAAGGAGTTTAAAAAATGTCACATTATATGGGATAGATTAGTAATGTTTTTGAGGACCTATATAGGTGGGACAACAGACTAGCAAGGTGAGCTCTCAACAACAACAACAACAACATCAAGCCTTTATCCCACTACGTGGGGTCGGCTACATGGAGAAAAAAAATCATTAAGCTCTTGATATTAATTTGAAGGATGGTTCAACAGTAATAATGCTAGATTGCACCTAGGCTCTATTAACCTTTTTGATGTTTGTTGACGGGCAAGATGACTACCTTATGATAATATATGATGTGGGTCTGATATAGTCCACTGTCTTATAATGATCAAGGAATCTAAATATCTATACATGATATATTACAGTATGATAGGATATAATATAAAATGAAAAAAAATAACCAAATGAATGTTATAAGGTGATTGAGCTAGGGTGTTACCACATATACGCTTGGATAATTAATATTTCTATTATGATTTTTTTAGTAAAATTACCTTATTGTTATGTTATATCTTGTTATATCTTATTCAAAAAAATTCAATTCATAATGATTATCTATAATAAATCAAATTAGTCTATATTAAATTTAATTATTATGTTCAGTTCATGATTAGCACGCCATATTATTTCATTAAGTATTTGAATTATGTATTATAATTGTTTATCTTGTTGAGTTTTATAACTCATTAGATTATTGTTTTAGTGTCGTTATAGCCCTAAGGAAAGATGGATTGAGCCTAAGTGCTGATCGTTTTTGAATCCTACTTTTTGAAATTTAGTTTTGATATAAGATATAAAACGTGCGAAGGTAATGTATATGATGAAAGTTTGACATTATGAATGTGAAATCTAATGTCTGTTATAACTCTGTAGATGATGAATGAAATATTTTCAAGTGCTTCCGTGCCATTGAATTGTGTTTAACTTATTGAATCTCTGTTAATCGTGATTCATGAGTTATATTGTATGTTCATATTTGGGTCATTCAGGTGATTAAATTTATCAATCACTCTATTATAATTAGTAGAATTTTAAAATGATTATTGGTGAAAATTTTAATAATTTGCGTCGTACCTGCCTCTCAAAGCCTTATACTTGATCAAGAGTGATGGTGGGGGTGACAAGTACAATTAAAAGCATCTTATATTATATTCAGAAACATGTTTAGAAGACATCAATAAAATGATATACATATCTAAGACGAAAATAATCCAGGAATTCCAACATAGATGAAAGATGATCACTATGTTCAACTCACCTTTCTTCAATTAACTTCGGTAGAACAACATCCCTGTAATATCGAATGGAAGACCAAGCTTTTATCCTGAAGTTGTAAACATTGCTCATATTATGGCCAAACCTTTCCATTATATATTCTGGAATTTTATCAACCACTCGTACATCACTTTGCAAAGTTGTAATGAAGTAGTTTTTATCATATATATCATTGAACTTGCTGCAACGTAAATGAATATTGCACGTTAGGCTTATCATCAAAACCATTGAACTAGCTGCAACTACATAAATAAAACAAATTATCACTGCAGACAATTTTACAATAACTTATAGCTGCCTTATGCCTTTTTAATATAACATTTATCAAATAATATGGAAGCAAGAGCATGATTCTTCAGTAGATCCATAAAACAGCATACATGAGGATTATCAGAAACAACAAAGCATCAAATAGAAAAAATATCTCAGCTTAACGCAGAAGATCAGCTGCTGTCTGCCAATCTTAAAAAAACAGCCAAAACCCTTAATTAGGTGCCAAATGACACTCTCACAACTCTTTGCATGCAATTCTCCAAAAAAAGTTGATGCAATCTATTTACGTTAGCGCAAAATGAAAGGCAAAGAAAGTTTTTTGGTGCGACATTCATATAATTCATGTGAGCATAAATTCTGAATTTTTACTGTCATGAATAATGGAATTTATTTTATGTCCTAAAAAACTTTTTATTTTATAATGATTGTTTTAGTCAATGTCATTAAATTTGTAAGCAAATTGCTAATAGTTTGGTATCAATTTGTTTGTAATTTGTTAGCAACTTATTAGTTGACTAGTAGTTTGTTAGTTTGTTAATGGTTTGTTAGTATGTTATTTCTTGTATCAATAAATATAGGAATTTCAAGTCACAGAAAATAAATTCTTCTTATGGATGTAGAAACCATTCTTCTTCATCTATTCTAAAGTTTTAACCCAAGATAAAGTCTGCAACTTGAAAACTTGCAAGAAGATTATTTCCTCATAAAAGCATGAGATTTGTTTATTTCTTTATTTGTATTGATATTTTTGTCTTTTAAATCTACCTTGCCATTGCCATAATATTCTAACACTGTCATTACCAGGTCACAAGTCCTAGATGAGAAAAATTAAGGGTTGCATTAGGTAGTTGACAGCAAGTATAATGAATCATTTAATACGTTGTGTTAATGCTAGGGTATTCCCTGGAAGTGAGGCGTTGTATGGTTTGAATACAGTGAGAAGTGTGCAAGGGTCGCTGCACCAGTGCCCAGGTGCAGTGTTAAATAGGCAAGGGTTCCCAAATCATGGACGGATGTAGGCAAAGAAGATAGTTCATGAAACTGAAATTAGGATAAGAACTTGGACTATAGGTTCATTACAGGCAAATTAATGAAATTAATAGATATTATGATTCATAGGAAGATAAATATTCTAGGCATTCAGGAAACTAAATGGGCTAGAGAGAAGGCTAAGGAGATTGATAATTTAAGATTTAAACTATGATATTCTGATAAGAGATATATTAGAAATGGTGTAGGTGTCATTACAGATAAGAGTTTGAAGGATAATTTTATAAAATTAATAGAATTAGAGATAGAATTATAGCAATAAAGATTGTTGTTGATGCTATGATTATTAATATTATAAATGCTTATGCTCCTCAAGTATATTTGGATATGTGTTCAAAATTAAAATTTTGTAATGACTTAGAAAAACTAATATAAAAGATACATCTTGAAGAAAAAAAAATTTATTGAAGGAAATTTAAATGGACATGTTGGTAGAAAGATATATGACTTTAAAAACATTCATGGCGGCTATTGGTTTGGAGTAACTAATAAATGTGATAAGATCATATTAGATTTTTCTATAGCTTATGGCTTTGCAATTGCTAATATGTTATTTAAGAAAAGAGATGAACATCTAATTACTTATAAGAATGAATATAATAAAATTCAGATTGATTACTTTCTTATAAGAATAAAGAGGCCCGTAAGAAGTCTAAGAAAGGAATATGTGATTCAAAAAAATTTAGATTTTAAAATCATCTATATAATAAATTAAATAATAAGGATGACGAAAGATATATGTATAAGTTAGCCAAACAAGGAGATAATTAGTAAGGATTTAGTGCAAGTAAAGTGCATTAAGGATGAAATTCAAAAAGTATTTTTATTTGAAGAATATATTTAACAAAGGTGGATGAGATTTTTTTTTAACTTTTCAAAAAAGATTGTGAGAATACGATTGACTTTAGTGACATTAACATCATAAATAAAACTAAAAATTTTTGTTTTTATCGACATATTAGTGAATTTGAAGTTAGAGAAACTTTAAAGAAAATAAAGTGTGTAAAAGCTATTGGACTTGATGATATTCCAATAGAGGTGTGAAAATGCTTAGGAGATGAAGGAATTTCTTAGATTACTAAACTTTTTAATATTATTTTGAAGACTAAAAAGATGTCAGATGAGTGAAGAATGAGTGTTTTGATTCCTATTTTTAAGAATAAAGGTGATGCACAAGATTGTGTGAATTATAGATGAATTAAGTTAATGTGTCATACTTCAAAATTTTGGGAGAGAGTTATGGAGCATAAGTTATGATGTAATACTAATGTTTCTCAAAAACAATTTGGATTCATGTCAGGTAGGTCTACTGTAGAAGCTATATATTTATTGGGAGGTTTGATGGAAAAGCATAGAGAGAATAAGGAGGATCTTCATATGATATTTATTGATTTAGAGAAAGCATATAATAAAGTTCCAAGAGAAGTACTATGGAAAGTTCTAGAAAAGGAGTTAATAATGTTTATATTCAAGTCATTGGGGATATGTATGCAGGTGTTATTACTTATGTTCAAACACAAGGTGGTTTAACCAAGCATTTTCCTATTTTTGTTGGATTACATCAAGGATCAGCCTTAAGCCGATATCTTTTTGCTTTAGTCAAGGATGTTCTCACTAGACATTTGCAAGAGGTTCTACCATGGTGTATGCTTTTTTCTAATGATTCTTCTTGTTGATAAGACTAAAGGGAGTTAAAGGTAAACTTGAATTATGGATGTCAACCTTAAAGTCTAAAAGTTTTCGTTTGAGTGGATCTAAAACTAAATATATGGAGTGTAATTTAGTAGTAATAGATCTAGTGGAAGATTTGTGAATTTGGACGATCAAGTCATTAATAAGAGTACACGTTTTAGATATCTTGGGTCCTTTGTTCATAGTGATGGTGAAATAGATGGGAATATTATTAGCAAAATTCAAGTTGGATGGTTGAAGTGGAGGAATGCATCAAGCTTGTTGTGTGATAGAAAAGTCCCCCTCAAACTTAAGGGAAAATTCTATAAGATAGTGGTGAGACCTACAATAATTTATGATGCAGAATGTTGGCCATTAAAAGAGAAGCATAATATTAAGTTAAGTATTGCATAGACGAGGATGCTTAGGTGGATGAGTGGTTTTACTCTTAGAGATAGGATACGAAATAAGCATATACATGAAAAGGTTGGAGTAGCTCCAGTGGAAGATAAGATTAGAGAGAGTCGCCTTAGATGGTTTGGTCACATAAAACTGCGACCTTCCGATGACCCAGTTAGAAAAGTAGATGTATTAGATTTGACATATGTTAAGAAAGGTAAAGGTATACCTAAAAAGATTTGGTTAGAAAATATTAAAAATGACTTGTATTTTTTAGACCCCACATGGTGGGATAAAAACTTGATGTTGTTGTTGTACTACATCTACCCTATTACCTCTTTAATTTTTTTCAAGAGCAACCTGCATCAAATTGGTGTCAAAGTCATGATTTTGATCACTTTGCAATAAAATTCCATTATGTTTTCCTCTTTAAAAAAAAAAACAAATTACAATATTCCCTCCAATTTCTACTGTTTGCAGAACAATGAATTTACCATTGACCAAGCAGTGATGGCCGAACGGTAAAATTACTGTTGAATGCACATGATAATTTACAAGTTCAATGGGTAAAACAAAAAGTTTATACCTTCAGAAATGGTTTCTGGGGCTTTGTGCAGATCTTTCAAACAATAAAAATAATATTAGTGCCAGGGCAACAACGGCCGACCCCAAATAGAGTAACAATGATGAAGATGATAGCATCCAAGTAATCATGAGGCAATTTGTAGGGGTTCAACTGTTTTTAATAGGACAAAGCATCCATAAAACATGTCCAAAGATGATGTATTTAACCCAGTAATGGTTAAAGGAATAAATAAAATACTTAACTGAATTGGACTTGCTCCAAGTTTCACCAAAGAGACATTGTCAGTTCTCATCATTAACAAGATTTGTTTAAATGTGATTACAAATCTTATGTATGAGATTACCATAAAAATTTTCATTTTTAAGAATTACCTAGCTTATCATCAACATAGTTTAAGTGTTATAAAAGATAATTGCCTAGGTGCTTGAGTGAGGCAAGTCTCCAACGTCGCAAATGCCTCCTATGCAAGAATCGCCCGTAGGTGCAACCTAGGCAAACGCCTTTGTGCAAGGCGCTAAACACCCAAGTGCTTGCCTTAATGATGTAAACTCTCTACCATTTTTAAAAAAATCAAAACCATATCATGAGATCGATGGTTACAAATTCAACGATAATATAGAGAGAGAGAGAGGATTACAAATTCAATGGTGGCAAAGAGAAATAGATAGCAGTGAATATTAGATTAACCTTACAATATGGAGGCTACCAAACTAAGTTTTTATTAGCTTGTTTAAACGTGAAAAATAACTTTTGATCCTTGTAGACACTTTGTTTTAGATAATCTATTTGACAAGATCATTTTGATATTTGGAATAACACAATTTGAAAATATATTTTTCCCGCAACATTTTTATATTTTATTATGATGATTATCATATTATATTCTTAAAAATCCACATAATTAAAACATTCAAATTTTATTAGTGCCTCATGTTGCTTAGGCGAGCACGTCAAATGCATTACATAAGCTAAATCATCTTCCAGGCACCTAGCTCCTTTAATAAAATTCAAGAATTCATTAGCAAATGTGAACTGCATGTTAAAAATGAGCAAGGTTAATGAAGAAGATGCATCAGTGATTCAGATTCACAAACCTAGGATCTCTCCAAATACTGTGTAATTCATTTGCAAACGTGAAGATCAAGTCTAAATTGAAAAAAAATTAATGAAGAAAATAAATCAGTGATTCAGTGTTCAAAAACCTAGGATCTCTCCAAATACTGTGATAATGGAAATTTGGGATTAGAAGCGTAGCATTAAGGTAGCCAGCCACCGCCACTGCATTGCATATCTAACAGAAACAAAGAAAAACTAAAATCACCAATTGAATCCATTTAGACTATTTAATAACCAAAACAATGAAGCCAAAAAAAAAAAAAACCTCAAATAAACAGATTTTAAGGAAGAGAAATAACCGATGTGCGCTGTTGATTCAAGCCACCATTTGCTTCAACATATATGTAACCATTAGATTCAGACAAACCTAAAGACGATGCAAAAAGGTAGAAGAGAGAGGACAACAAGGATACAGTCAGCAAATGGATATATAATTAAACGATGAAAGGAAGGTAGATATAAAAAGAACAATATCAGAATAAACAGTGTGGAAAAATCAAAATAAAAAACAGAACAATTGCAAATCAATATTATTTTGAATTCTCCAAAACTAACCTAAGAACTTATTAATGCTGTTTTTTAACTTATCTATAAGTATATGTATGCACACATAGATGAAAGCAGGGTAGATCAACCACGAGAACAAATAATGGGACAAAAAAAGTTAGATTATTTTTTACGTGGCACCATAACAATAATAGGCTATTTATTTATGGGAAAAAATTTTTTATAACAATCTGCTAGAGAACGCATGATAGTTGTGATGAGGACATCCGACCTTGAAGAGTTTACCACAGACGGTGCCGACTATCTACGGCCACGATCGCACCAATATATTTTTGAGTTATTATATGTATTTGATTTATTTATGCTTTTTCTATGTCTACCCTCACTTGAGGGATTAGTTGTTTGTGACCCTTAGGGGCATTTGTATCTTTTATTTTTTCACTGTAAACATTAGTTATTTATATCCCCTCCTCTTTGGAGAGGCTAATGATGATTATGATAAAAAAAAATTCTATACTTGTGTGATTTGGGAGAGCATGAGAGTTCTTGGAGAGATTGAAGTCCTTAGGTGATGGCAATGCAATACCCTCCAACCGCATGAAGCGTCCTTAGGTCTACCTCTTCATTCCCCTTCCTCCCCTCTCTTTTTCCCCCACAAACTGCCGGCCAACCCCTTCTTTCCTCCCCAACCGTCAGCCTCCACATCCCTCCCCCTTAACTATCGACTAAGCCACCTCCACACCACCACAGCCCCTCCCCTAGCCACCGGCCCTAAGGCCTTCCCCACCTCCACAACCTCCAGCCAAACCCCTCCCCACAATCCTTCCCTAGCTGCCGCCCCTATTCCTTTTTTCCCTACCTGACTGTCAACTTCAAACCCTAACCACAACCTAGCCGCCGGTCTCCTTTCCCCCTAATCAATACTTTCCATCTATAAAACATCTTAAACTAGGAAAGTTCCTAATTCAAATTCTAATCTATTTTGAATTTGAAATTCTTTCCTAACCTGAGATATCTATTTTAGAAAAGTTACTTAAATCAAATATATTTGAATTTTAAATAGGATTGGATTTAAAATAATCTTTCCTCATTTAATATTCTAAATAGGGCAAGCCTTCAATCCCCACCTAAAAGTCCCCACTAATCCCCCTATGCCGCCTGGCCCCTCCGTCCCTCTCTCTCTCTCCTATTCAATTAATAACCCCATTAAACCCTCCCTGTCCAGAAGCGCTAGTACATTAAAATATGTTATTCTCACATGTATGACAGATCCATAACTAGATCATGAATTTTTTTACAATGATCAAGGGCAAGTGGACATACTCAAGTCTCCGTTCTTCGACATCAACCTGGAGATCGATCAAACAGTAGAAGAATACGTTGAGAGGATCGTCTTCTCCCTCGCCGCCGCTATTGAAGAACAACTGATGTATGCAAAAGGGGGGTCAAAACAAATCCTAAATATTGGCCTAGGCTGCTCTTGGTTTATGGCCTTTTACTGCTCTCGGGTAGGCCTTGGCTGCTTGGTATTGAGCTTAAAATTCTGGATTTTACTTGAAGTTAGCTCATTAATGATTGAGCTGAAGCTTAGCTCAATAAATGGTGAAAATTATGATTTTTGGAGAGGTAAACCTGAGGGTTTTTGGAAAAGCTTGAGAGCTTTGTCCACTTCTTCTTCTTCTTTATCTTGGGATAACTTGCGAGTTACTCCTATCCTTCGTCTTGACTTCTAACCTCTTCTTCTATCCGCAAGAATCCACCCCACTTGTATCTTTCTTCTCTCAATGGTTGAATGCAACTTTCGGTGTTTGTTTTTATTTCGTAAGTTTGTAAGTCCTTTTCTATGTGTCTTGTAAGGTGTTTGTGTTTGTAAGTGTCAAAGTTTGTAAGAGTCTTTATATGATATAAAAAGTCTCTTTTGGGTTAATTTGAGTCTTTCTTTTATCTAGCAAGAGTAATGTTTTGCTTGCGAAAATTTGGGTCCCTCACTCAAATTTTTGCTTGCATCAACAACTCTCTCCAGTTCAGTAGCAGATTGTTCTCAAATCCTGATAAAAGTGATTTTCTCCTCCATGTCTTTTGTTTTTCTAAGCCTTCCCTTTAATTTGTGGCATCATAAAGGTTGTGCAACCTATTTCCGTTTAGCCTACATCAAGAGTGTGAGTGAGTGGATCCAAGTAGTGTCAAATCTTATTGTTAATTCAGGGATTTCCTTTGAAAATCCCCCATGCTATGTTAATCTTGATTGTAATTGATTATTCATGATTCTAACGCTTATATGTAGTTTGACCTAAGCTTTAATCATCTCTCTATTGTTTTAATACTTGTATAAATCACTAGAAGTCAACGTAATTATTATTGCTCTAATTCAAAAAAGGCGTGTAATTTTGACATTGCATAATTTCCCATACATTTAGTTCTACATCAGGTTGGCTGCCCCAAAAAAGAAGGGTGATGATGCAACCAAAGAGGCAGACAAACGAAATAAGGGGGCAAAAAGATGTAGCAATAATTTCAAGAAAATTTTAAGGGTGATTGCATGTAGAGATGCAAGGTAAGCGGTTGTGATTCGCAGTACAACCAAGTTGTGACTGGCAGACAGCAAAATAGGAAAGAAAGAGATGCTTCGATAGATGGCAGTATGCAGATAATGGAAGCCTGAAAGCACACGGATTCAAGAAGCCTTAGGAAACATTTTAAGTTATAATTATTACTCTTCCTAAATATATACATAAGTAGCTCAATGCATAAACACCCTTTAAATGTATGATAATGAGAGAAAGCTTTTGACATTCTCCTTTTTTCTACATGGTATCGCAGAATTAGATTAGGGTCTAATTTCCAACTACCCAACCTATTTTCAACCTAATTTCCCTCTCTTACTTTTTTCACTATCTCTGAGTTTTGACTTCTCCACAAGAGAATCAAACATCATGAATTATAAGAATTAGGCCAATTCAATCAAAAGAAAACTCCATATGTTGCAAACCTCAAATAAGATGAATAGAAGAAATTATCTAAAGGAAAATTCACCACCTAAGGGAAAAGAAGGAAAATTCACCACCTGTTGGTCATCCTCCAGATATTGCAGATTCAAAGTTCACAAATTGAGATGAACTTCAAAATCATGACATGGCTATGGAACTCCATGATGCCCAATGTCAATGGACCTTACATGCTCCTCATAACAACAAATGAATTATGGGAAGTTGTGAAACAAACATACTCAAAATTTAAGGATGTTGGCCCTATCTAAAAAATCAAGACAAAACTCTCAACCATCAAACAAAGCAACCTTATGACTTTGAATACTTCAATGCAATGTAGGTTTTCTAGTTAGAGTTCAATTACTACTGAAATCTCAATATGAAATGACGTGATGAATTTGTAGTTCTAAACAATATGTAGAATGCAAGGATCTTTAAGTTTCTTGCAGATCTCAATATAGAATTTGATTAAGTTCACATCAAAATCTTAGACAATAAAATCATGTTTGTACAAGCTAAAGAAGGAAGAAGAATCTTAATGTTAGAAACAACCAACTTAAAAGGGTCAGCTTTGGAAATCACATAAATCGTAGGTAAATGATTGATTGCTCTTGACTCTTCTGAAAAATAAGGAAATTTTCTACTACAAAAACAAACGGTGATGCAATTTATACAAGGGGCATACCAAGGAAATTGTTAGAAATTCCATAGAAAACCTCAAGGTCATCGTGGATACAATGAAATTCAATTGAAAGGATAGAATCATTTCAAAGAGATCGGTCAAGTCAACTCAAGACAAATTAACAGGCTATGGAACCTTATCAACTCTCTAGAAAAGCCATCAGGGTCCTGCTCTTTTAACTCAAAATAATGAAACTTCTAATCTTTGTGTTTTTAGTGCCTCAAATAATTCCTCCAACACATGAGTAATAAACTCAGGTGACACTGACCACAACAATCTCTACTAATATCTTCTAAACCTAGCAAACCTATCATAGTAATAAAAAATCAAAGTACTTGATCGCTCCTAAACCACTATTGAATGGCAAGGGAATATTCCTACTTTAACTTCGACAATGCACTATATGTCCCTTATCATGTTATAAATCTTTAACATATTCATAAAATAATGCAAGATAAAAAAAGCAAGGATATATTCTTGACTGGTTATTGTTTTTTCAGGACCTAACCAAAAAGAAGATGAATGGGCAATCTAAAAAAATGGATGAGCTATACCTACTTAAAGACAAAAATGGCTTACAATAATCATTCATTTTTCTCTTTTATGTTTATGTCTAATAAAGATACTATGTATGATCATCATTATAGATTAGAGTAGTTACCTTTTAAAATCCTCAAATGTATGTTTCCTCAATATTCAAAATTGGTTACATTGAATTTTTTATTATGAAACTTGTGAGATTCCAAACATCATTGGATATCATTTCATGTGTAAGTGACATAAGTATATCTTTCATCTCACTCATTTATTCTTTCATATTAATCTACGTGGATATTTGGAGACCCTAAAAAATCTCTAATCTCTCATGTGCCAAAAAATCTATAATATTTATTGAACCATATGACATAGCTATATCTTATAATCTTATCAAATAAAAATCTATCTTTATAATAAAATATCAATTTGGTATCATCATAAAAAATACAGGATGATAATGCCCAATATTATTTTAACCAAATATCATCTCCATTCAACTAAAAATGCATTATTCACCAAGCCTCATATATCGACATCCACAACAAAATGGGTCGACTTGAAGAAAAAAATAGACATCTTCTTGAGATTGCAAGGACTCTTCGATTCCAAAATCAAATTCCAAAAGGATATAGTGGAGCCACTATCCTAATCTCAACATTTTATTATTAATAAAATACCATATATAGTGATTGATTTCAGAAATCCCATGAACTACCTCATTGAATTTTTTTTCCTAAGAGAAGTTTCTTCACAAAAATTACTCCAAAAAAAGTTTGATTGTACCTTAAGTACCCATTCAAAACCAACAATGAGTAAAATTAGATCTTAAAGTACTTAAGTGCATTTTAGGATATTCACAAACTCAAGGGATATAAATACTATCATCTAAACACTATAAAATTTTTCATAATAAAAGATGACACATTTGATAAAAACTAATCTTTCTTTAATCAGACTTATCTTCAAAGGAAGAACAGTCGTAGAAGATAAGTACGAAGAACTATTCTTTCTGTTGTTTGTTCAACTACTAATATAATGAATTGAGATAGTTTATTCCCACCAAGATTAACACTCCGATTACTAAATCACTCCAAGTCAGTACAAGAAGGGCAAAGGTCATCCAAACACTCTTGCAAGTCCAATACTCCAAACCCTTAAACTTTCTACCTCTACCAACAATGATTTTGTTCAACCTATTGTTATACTAAAGATTTAGAAATTAGAACACTCACTATATCAAATAACTCAATACAGATACATTAACTACTCTTTTACACATAAAGTCTTCCTTATATTAACACCATTAAATTCCAAAAACCTTGTTTGAGCTAATAAGAAACAAATATAAGCTGAAAACTATAAGAGAAGAGACGAATGCCATAAAAATTAATCATACTCTAGAAATAGTTGAACGACCTAAAGGAAATAGGGTAATAGGATGTAAGTAGAATTTTACATAAGAATATAAAGTTGATGGAAACCTAAAAATATATAAAATCAGGTTAGTTACAAAATGCGATAGTCAAATCTTGTCGGATAGACTACTAGAAACATTTGCTTTTGTTGCATAACAAAATTACATTTCGTATAGTTATCTCTTTGGCTGCTAATTTTGGATGATCCTAAGAAATAAAATGATTGATATAAAGAATGTCTTTTTCCATGATGATTGGGAAAAAGAAATTTTTGTGGATTCCCCACCAACATTCAGTAACTTTTTAAAAAACTAGGTATGTAAACTAAGAGAGACCATACAAGTTAAAGCAATCTCCAAGGGCATAGCCATGAGTGTAAAGAGATTAAACAAAGCCAAACGACAATACGCTCTTTATGAAACACTCAGTGAAAGAAAAGTGACAATTCTGGGTTGATTTGTACTCCTTATGTTCCAATAGCCAATCAAATTGCTGATATATTCACCAAAAGCTTTTGCAATCCCACATTCAAAAAAATTTTGAGCCAACTGGGAATGGAAGATCTCGATTAGCCAATGTGTGGGGGGGTGTTGGAAAACGGAGGATTGTTAGGCCCCCAAAAATACAAGGGTGACAATACATCCAAGTAAATGGACAAAGGCAGCAAGGGCTGGATAGTTGTGGCAATAAGTTTAGGAAGAATTTATGGGAGAATGCATGCTAGATGGAAAGTATGCATATATGATTGGAGATCCAACAAAGCTGTGATTGGCAAACAGCAAAATAAAAAAGAAAGTGACACATGAATCTGTAGAAGCAGATGAAAATTAAAAATCTAAAGGCCCACGGATTCAAGAAGCATCGGGAAACATTTTTAATTATAAATAGTACTCTTTCTACAGATGCATAGGCAGCTCTCTCTATATATATATACCCTTCAAATGTATGAAAATGCAAGCAAGATTTTCCCATTCTCTTATTTTCTACCATCAATAAAATGATCTCATAAGAAAGGACCATAAGTCTGAGGGTTCGCCCACCTACTAGATATAAGTTAACATTTACAATGTTGAAGTTAAAAATTTGACAAAAGAGTTTTTAAAAAAAAAGAATTACAATATTACTAGTCAAAACAAAATAGAAATGGATATCAAATGAATATTGGAATAAATTGAAAGTTAAAATTGAAAATGAAATTAGCTGTACATCAACAGAAATGAATGCTGCAATCAAGCAATAATCCATAAAGAATTATACAAAATTTGATATATTCACAATGTATAGAATCTACAAAAGAATCAAATGATGGGGATTCATATAGACCCGATGGATTATCAGTAAACATGATCAAAATTCTTTAAAAAAAATTATCACAAATGCAATATTTCAAATATGTTCAACCTTCCAGCCTAAGAAAAATAGTAAATTAAAATTCAACTCCAAATCTATCTTGGCACTAAGTAGCTGCTTATGCTTAATGTACAACAAATCAGCTAATCAACTAAATTAAGGGCTGCTCCCAAACTACCAGAACATCTTTGACATTCATATATCAAGATAATCAATTTTGGAGAAACGCAATTAATATTGAAAGGCATACTTACTGCATTATTGACTGCTTTATGAAGGTTCTAAACAAAGCGTGACCACTATTAATAGTACAGGAAAAGGATCCAGTAGAAAAAACTCAGCCTCCACCTAAATATTACGCCACATCTTTAGAATTGGTCAAGCTACGCAGGGAACTTATCATCCAATCAAACGAACTCATATATAATGCCACAAAAGGAATTGATAGGATATCCGTCAAAATTAAGAGAATAGAAAGTTTATTGGAAGAAAGATGAGAAATCAAACATAAATATGTAGACAAATAATAAAAACATAAAACCGTGCTAGATTATGGAACAATATTACAGTTTATAAAACAAACATAGCATCATTAGAACCTTGAAAGTTGTAGAACTGACAATAACTTCAAACAAAAGTGAATGGCATATATATATTTCATTAAAAATATCAGTACCACTTGTGTTCATGTTTATACAGGGTCTCCAACCATCACCTCTGTTAGCATGTTTCCAGACATTTGCCAGCTAAAAAAGAAAAAAATGGAAATATAAAAGCTCATTAGCTTTGCCGAATTTCAGGCTTATGAAACATAAGGCAGAAATGAAGAATGAAGAACTACATTTCCTTGAATGAAATGACAACATTAGCATAAAGTTGAGAACAAACAGACATTCACATGGTTACTATGCCCGGTTATCTGGCATAAGATCAAACAGAATAAGCTTGAGAAATGACATTTAAGGAGACCATAAAAAAGAAAACTCAAAATTCTCATAAATGGTACTAGGATGAAGCAAGACTCTCAAAAAGCTACCAACATCATGATTCTTCAACAGATAACAAAGTCAAAAAAAATGGAAAAAAAAAAACTATTAAAGAAAAGCGTAGTTGAGATATTTAGGTTATGACAATTTGGAGGTACTTTATTCCAGGCCCATAAGAAAGGCAATGCCTTGTTGCACCAGAATCAGCAAAAGTCATGTTCCCACTTTCTGGAAACATTGACTAAGGTACCCACTATATTATCAAGATTTGTGGTTTGAAAGATGCAGAACAAATAAATAAAAGGGACAATTCGTGTTTATTTTAGACAAGAAAAAACCTGGGCAGTTTCAAACGTAAAGATGAAACTGAAATCAGCATAAACTTTTAAATTACATTTTGTGTATGTTTATGCATGGGATTAAAAGAATGGGATCTTTCTTTCTTCTATGGATCCTTTTTTTTCCTTACATTTTTGTTCTGTGAATTGATGGAAGACGTCCCGGAGCTCATTAACTCCAGATTCAGCTGCACAGTATCTGCTATGACATTTGATAAATTGTTCCGGGATACCAATGTGGATTACAGATGACTGCGGAAAATCCAGCTCCACTTGAGGGAGAAGATGTTCTGGTGGAGAATTCTCCATAATGTGGTTCCCTACCAATGCGTGGTTGTGCAATCGAAGATTAGAGGAGTGCAATTGTGTGTTTGGAACTATGGGAAAGCTGAAAAAAGTGATCACATTACCACTCAGTGCAAGATGCTCGTAGATGTATGTGAAAAGCTTGGCCAATGGGGGGTGTTGATTCCTGGATTCCAATCTCTGAATGAACTTATCACTCAACTGCATTTGAGTGTGGCATCGACTTCACCTTGGGTAAGAACCTATTGCAACTTGGTATATCAAGTATATCAAGCTTAGCATGCACGTACCGACAAGAAGCTCAGGAAACAGTTCAGGACACCTGCCGTGTTAGCTGCCAATGTGCTAGCCACCTCTATCGGCCCTCACCAATCCCCAATTTTGAAGCGATGGGACACTAAACAGCTACCAACATTGCGTCACCATAAACTTTGGTGTCCACCCCTATAAGTTGGTTTAAGGTGAATGTGGATGCTACCTTGCTTCCTTCAAACCAGGCGGGGCATAGCAGCAGTATTCAGAGATCATGATGGCATCCTCCTTGCTATTGGGAAGCAAATAGAATATTGGGACAGCACTAAGGCAGAGCTTATTGCTGTTTTGGCAATTAAAGATGCTAAATAGGATTGGATACTTGAAAAAGATGGAATTATCATTGAAGGTGATTGTGAAAGTGTTATAAAATGTTTCCAAAACACAATAAATGCTCAAAGCCACTCTATTCACATGGAGGCAGAGTATGACATATCCTTTTGATGGACTTTAAACCAGTCCTTTTCCACTATATCCCTAGAGAAAGTAATTCTATTGCTAACTTTTGTGCTTCTTTTGCTCTTTTTGGTGATAAGGTATACATGATAGGGACCTTCCTTCAACTTTTTAGTTTATGTTGAGGGAGGATAGTGACAAAGTTACCCATACATAATTTTATTGTACTCTTTCCTTTATTTTGATCAATGCAAAATGCAACTTTCAAGAATGGTACAAAGATGGGGGCTCTGTATGTGCAATCTTGATTGAAAACTTAATCTATAATCCAAACCAAGGTTTAAAATTGCATAATTAGGTATTGAGGCGTTTTTTGTTCGTGAGGTAAGACGTAAGCCTCAAGATGTTTTGAATTGGAATTGTGCTAAGGCAAGCCTCATATTGCGCATTTTTAAAATTGGATTCCAAACTATACTAAAGCTGGAATTTCGCATTTTGGAGTATCAATTCATGCCACTTGGCTTTTGGGAGGGAACTAAAAGTTTCCTAATCAAAAGGGAGATGTTTAGAAAGGTTCTTAATCAAAGAGGAATTGTTTATGAAAGTTTTAATTACAATTGGGTGAGAATTATTTAGGGCAAGAGATCTAATTTGAATTCAAAATCTAAAAGGGAATTATTTAGAGAAAGGGAGGAGGAATCAAGGGGGGATTGCTTAGGAAAGTTTTAATTACAATTGAGATGGAATTATTTAGGGCAAAAAATCCAATTTGAATTCAAATATGAGAATGAATTATTTAAGGAAAGGGGGTTAATTTGGGAGGGAATTAGAAGAGCATATTTAAGGCTAACAATAGGGTGATTTCATGATTATGATGTCTTGTTTGCTAAATTTATATTGTTCTTAGGTTGAATGGGCTCTAGCTGACGACTAGGGATTTGGGAGAGACGGATCTTTCTCTCCAATTGAAGATCCAACTGTATCTTGTCCTTCTTTCATAGCTATTTGAAAAAAAAATGTTCTTGTGAGTTCTTTGATTTTCCATTTTCTAGTTTGTTGAAATCATATTTCAGCCATAGATTTTCATAAATTCTACATCCACTTACTATCAAATTGGTATCAGAGCAGTATCCTGCGCTAAAATATAAATCCTTCTCGCTGTTTTTGTTGCATTTGTTTCCTCTGTCTTGCTGATTTTTGCTGTTAGAAGACCAGATTCGCTATTTTTTGTTGTTTCTTTTGCTATTTGGAGCATAGACCTGGATACCTCTAGCTGGAAGAAAGGTAGAAGTGTTAGAAGGAGAGATCGGACAATTGAAATCTGATTTTGTATAAAATATTTTAGATTTCAAAAAGCAATTTTTAACTACCATGAGAAGATCGATGAGAAGTTTACCATCATGGAGGAGATGATGAGGAAGATGCTCGAGTTCCAAACCAAAACGGCATCATCACATGCAGAGGAACCGCCGGTAACCAAGTGAGTGGAGGAAACCCTAATTCGATAAGGAGAGTGGAAGATCAGGAGGTGAAAATGTTGGGAGAAGAAGATGAGATGCCACCTTTGGAGCCACTTCCGAGGAGGGGAAAGGATGGAGTGAGATTTTTTGTGGAGCTACAGAGTTTGGAAAGAGAATAAGATGGGAAGAAGATAGAAGCACACATGGTTCAGCCACCCCTACAACAATATTAAGGGGTGTTCCAGCCAGTTCAGGGGTTGTCGCCTAGGCAAGAACGAGAGCATGCTATCATCTTGAAGGAGTCTCACCTATCAGTATTTGTCTGTAACATCATCCCCAAATCTTAAACGAAGAGATTGAGAGATTAATCAAGGAAATGCAGGAGGCAGGGATCATTCGACCCAATGACAGTCCATTTGTCAGTCTAGTACTTCAGCAGCAGTTTTCTTCGTTCCACCTTTAAGACAAGCCGGCAAGGTGACACTTTAGGAGGGGAGTATTGATGGACCGGCTGATTTGATTGGGAGGGAATTAGAAAGTTTCATAATCAGGAGGAAACTGTTTAAAAATGCTCCTAATTAAAGGGGAATTGTTTAGAAAAGTTTTAATTACAATTGTGAGAAAATTATTTAGGGCAAGCGATCTAATTTGAAAATTCAAAATCTAAGAGAGAAAATTATTTAGGGAAAGGGATGAGGAATCAAGGGTAATTGTTTAGGAAAGTTTTAATTACAATTGGGAGGGAACTATTTAGGGCAAGAGATCTGATTTGAATTCAAATATGAGAGGAAATTATTTAGGGAAACAGGACTTATTTGGTAGAGAATTAAGGAAGCCTATTTAAGGCTAACAATAGGGTGATTACATGATTAAGATGTCTTGTTTGTTGAATTTAGATTGTTCTTAGGTTGATTGGGCTCTAGCCGGTGGCTATGGATTTGGGAGAGCCGGATCTTTCTCTCTAATTGAAGATCCAATTGTATCTTGTCCATCTTTCGTAACTATTTTGAATAAAAAAGTGTTCTTGTGAGTTATTTCTTTTGTTTTCCAATTTCTAGTTTGTTGAAATCAGATTTCAGCCATATATTTTCACAAATTTTGCATCCACTTCCTGTCAGCCTTCTTCTTTCATGAAGTGTTATAGGCCAAATTCATACCCTTTGCAATTAACTTTGTCAAATTACTCGGGGTGGGCCTTGTGAATCCTTCTTCGCTAATCCAATTAATTTCTGCAAATGTTAACACAAATTTATAGCTTTTTTTTTAGTATTATTTTGCTATGTTGTCATTTGCCCACCCTTCATTCCAATTCCTTTTGCATTAACGCCATTAACTAAATCACACAACCTTAGCAATGCATCATCTATACTCTTATAAATGAGAACAATCCTATGTTCCCTATTTTCTAATGTCTAATAAAGTTTACTCCTGAAACTAATCTAATATAATCATTCTCCACTCTACGTTCTAGTTTAGCACATCCATGTTAGCTCTCTCATAAACTTAAGTTAGTGCATACACTTGAAATGTAGAGAAAAAAAAGGTGTGGCTAGAATATAACTCAAATCTTATGGGAGAAATCACAATAAATTGATCATTGAAGCAATCAAGACTTTCTAAAATAATTGAGTGCACATTCAAATAATTGCTTAAGTACAAAAGCATCAAGCAAGCCCAAGGATAGCAACTATAAATTGTATAATGATCAGCATCTTCAGATAGCTTAGTCTGAAAGGAAGTGTTGAAATAATCTTAAATTCATGGCCAGCACATTTCCATTCATAGCAACCCAGCAATCTATGAACAACTTCCATCAACAACAATCTTTTAACAGCAATATTCCATTACTATTGCATAGTGAATTATGGATTCTAAAATTAAAAAATAATTTCCTTTTTTTTATTTTTCTTTTTTTTTTATAGTTGCTTCTCTACTTAATTATGTACAG